TGTAGGGCTTGTTCAAACCTCACTTACTGCTTGGTTGGTAACTTACTAAATTCTAATATTCTCTGTATATTTGCACATGTATGCGTGCTATCTGAAATAGTCTACTTATTGAATATGAACTAATGTACATAATGTTTACTTGCAATCCATTTGATTGACCGGGTTTTGTTTCCGTAACTCTACTGACTTGTATGCTGTCGTTTGTAGACATAACATGGTGTTACTTTATTTTCAGATTTTATGGGCTATACCACCGATTTACTTACACAGATAAAGTGAGGATGACACTCTATCGACCATCTAATGACTAATACAAGACTATAACAATCTACAGCTAAGCATTCCTCTTCCTTCTCCGAGTGAACGTGTTCCGATACTTCCGGTGATGCCTAACGATAACAATCCCTTGCCTTGCTGCATGTGTAGGGCGTGCCTTAGGTCTCACAGTGTGTATAGACAGATGCTTTTCGGGATACGCAGACAATAGGAATATATTGAGAGGGACAAGAATGGTGTATGTGTGTGTATATAAATATATATTTTTTACGAACTGTATATTTACCAAAGTAAGCCAAAGTGAACATATGTAGCCATTCAGTTTGGATAAGGGGCACGATACGGAGCCATCACGAAATATATTGTTAATGAGTTGATGCTATTGTCTTAGTAATAACTACGTATATTGTATTGGTAATTACTACGTAGATGGAATTGGTACTTACTACGTAGATGGTATTGGTAATTAGTACGTAGATTGTATTGGTGATGTATTGGTAATTACTACGTAGATGGTATTGGTAATTACTACGTAGTTGGTATTGGTAATTAGTCCGTAGATTGTATTGGGGATGTATTGGTAATTACAACTTAGATGGTATTGGTAATTACTACGTAGATGGTATTGGTAATTACTGCGTAGATGGTATTAGTAATTACTACGTAGGTGGTATTGGTAATTACTACGTAGATGGTACTGGTAATTACTACGTAGATGGTATTGGTAATTACTACGTAGATAGTATTGATAATTACTACGTAGATGGTAGATTGTATTGGTAATTACAACGTAGATGGTATTGGTAATGTACTGCTAATTACTACGTAGATGGTATTGGTAATTACTACGTAGATGATATTGGTAATGTATTGGTAATTACTACGTAGATGGTATTGGTAATGTACTGCTAATTACTACGTAGATGGTATTGGTAGTTATTACGTAGACGGTATTGGTTGCTAGGATGAGCTGACGGGCGGCGTTACATGTATTAATAATGTCGTGCTACAGTAGAGCCGAACTGACTAGTTTGATACCTGTTTTTAGTGGACTAACTTTCATTACGTTTGATACTTTTACACAGTATTTTATAGAATAATTGATCTTCAAACATCTAAGGTTGTATTGATTATTTGAGCGACCGAAATGTCATCACATCATTGAAATATAGCTGATGCTAACGTTTGTATCCACCTGTATTTTATCGTTTGTAAGTGATAGCATGAAACCCATTACTTGTATACACAGGCTTATGTCTATTAGTATATATAATTATACTCACTGAACTCTGATGGTGCTGGTGGCATCGACAACACGTGCCTCGTGTCAGTTGCACGTGTAACAAGTGTCTCATATTGACATGGCGTTTCACACAACAATTACATGCCTTGAAATCAAACCATGGTATATATATCTATATGTCATTCGTTTTGTTGTTTCGCCTCGTTGTGTAACTAACCCGTTTCTAATGGAACGCCCCAAAGCCACGCTGTTTACTACTGTGTATTTCGTTATGTTTCAAAATAACATTACTATCTGAAAGCAATGGAATTCATGATGAGGAGTACCATGGTACATCTAAAGAGCTCATCACCTTATCAAACTCCGCAAGTCGACACAGATAGTATAACCCATTCTCTCCTTAGTGAGTTTCGTTTATTGCTGGAATGTACCGAAGGACGTCTCTAGATGCCCTTGGCTGGTGATAGGACATTAAACCTTATATAATACCTCAGGCCGTGCCTTTTTGAAATGATGAATATCATGTGTACCTCATATTTGTAGGGCATTTAAAACGTGTGTCGTTTGTGTATATAGTTGCCATTACCCTAGATAGACAGAAAAACTTGACTGATTAAGAGGGGGGTCTAAACAATCATGAATGGCAGGTATCCTTTAGAATATCGCTTTAACGACGGATCATTTTCTAACAACAAAAATCCCTAAACGCTGATTTGTGCCGATATTGGTAGAGTTATATGCTCGTCAATCGTTGAGGAGTGAACGTTTCACAAAAGGCTAGACAGCTTTATGATCGATGATTGCAACGTTTCTTCTCCATAAAAGTTCATCGTTAATGGAGAATAGACACTAAACTAAACACAGAACGATGACTGAATTCGGCTCGTGTCTGAAACGCTTTAAGTATTTAACTATGAGTATTGAAGCATCACTCCTTTGCATGGTAGGCTATGATTTCTTTGTATGAAATGCTACTTGTGTCCCTTTGTATCGAAGGCTAGTATCAATATTGTGTATACCTGGCTGGTATCATTTCTCCGTATGGTAGGCTAGTATCGCTCCTTTAAATTGGAGGCTAGTTGTGTTCCTTTGTATGGTAGGCTAGTATCGCTCCTGTGTATGGTAGGCAAGTATCGCTCCCTTAAATTGGAGGCTAGTATCGCTCCTTTGTATGGTAGGCTAGTATCGTTTCGTTGTAGCTCCTTGGTATCATTTTACTGTGTCTTGCCTAAGCACACAATTATATGAACATATCGTAAGTCTATATAACTTTTATGATATCGTTTTTCAGAATTTGTTACCATGATGACAATAAAATGAATTGCAGAGGTAAAAGTTTGGTCCAGGAGTATGTTACGTAATGGAGGAGTGGACCATATCACACAGCATCATTCCCTGAATTGTGATGACATGAAAAGATTCCAATGGACTAGGGACTGATAAACCTGATGGAAAAGATCCCCGGATGTGATCATATCACACAGTGACCTTGTCATGTTGTTACATGACATTGGATACACACATTCAGAGGCCCCGAGGAATTTAGAAGTTGTTATCGAACAAGACATGCGAGTCTGTTTGTATTTGTGTTGTTTTAAGTTATATTTTAAAGTGACATACGTGACATAGAGACGCCTGTCTGATTATATAGCGTATAGACTGAAAGCCCGCACTGTTGGTGAGATACGAGGGTAATGGCGTACTACTCTATGAGTGGCCCGCACTTTGGTAAGATACGACGGTAACGGCGTACAACCCTATGTGTGGCCCGCACTGTTGGTAAGATACGACGGTTACGACGTACAACCCTATGTGTGGCCCGCACTTTGGTAAGATACGAAGGTAACGGCGTACAACCCTATGTGTGGCCCGCACTGTTGGTAATATACGACGGTAACGGCGTACTACCCTATGTGTGGCCCGCATTGTTGGTAAGATACGACGGTAACGGCGTACTAGCCTATGTGTGGCCCGCACTGTTGGTAAGATACGACGGTAACTACCCTATGTGTGACCCGCACTGTTGGTACAAGTAAGATACGACGATAAGAGCGTACTACCCTAAGAGTGACCTGCACTGTTGGTAAGATACGAGTAAGAGCGTATTGCCCTATGTGTGGCCCGCACTTTTGGTAAGATACGACGGTAACGGCGTACTACCCTATGTGTGGCACGCACTGTTGGTAAGATACGACGGTAACGGCGTATTACCCTATATGTGGCCCGCACTGTTGATAAGATACGATAGTAACGGCGTACTAACCTATGTGTGGCCCGCACTGTCGGTAAGATACGACGGTAACGGCGTACAACCCTATGTGCGGCCTGCACTGTTGGTAATTTACGACGGTAACGGCGTACAAACCTATGTGCGGTCTGCACTGTTGGTAAGATACGACGGTAACGGCGTACATCCCTATTTGTGGCCCGCCCTTTGGTAAGATACGACGGTAACGGCGTGCTACCCTATGTGTGCCCCCCATGGGTGGCCCGCACTGTTGGTAAGATACGAGTAAGAGCGTACTGCCTTATGTGTGGGCCGCGCTGTTGGTAAGATACGACAGTAACGGCGTACTAACTTATGTGTGGCCCGCACTGTCGGTAGGATACGACGGTAACGGCGTACAACCCTATGTGCGGCCTGCACTGTTGGTAAGATACGACGGTAACGGCGTACTTCCCTATGGGTGGCCTGAACTGTTGGTTGATATGACGTTAAGAGGGTACTACCCTATGTGTGCCCGCACTGTTGGTAAGATACGACAGTAACGGCGTACTAACCTATGTGCGGTCTGCACTGTTGGTAAGATACGACGGTAACGGCGTACATCCCTATTTGTGGCCCGCCCTTTGGTAAGATACGACGGTAACGGCGTGCTACCCTATGTGTGCCCCCCATGGGTGGCCCGCACTGTTGGTAAGATACGAGTAAGAGAGAACTGCCTTATGTGTGGGCCGCACTGTTGGTAAGATACGACAGTAACGGCGTACTCCCCTATGTGTGGCCCGCACTGTCGGTAAGATACGACGGTAACGGCATACTACCCTATGTGTGGCCCGCACTGTCGGTAAGATACGACGATAACGGCGTACAACCCTATGTGCGGCCTGCACTGTTTGTAATTTACGACGGTAACGGCGTACAAACCTATGTGCGGTCTGCACTGTTGGTAAGATACGACGGTAAGAGCGTACTACCCTATGTGTGGCCCGCACTTTGGTAAGATACGACGGTAACGGAGTGCTACCCTATGGGTGGCCTGAACTGTTGGTTGATATGATGTTAAGAGCGTGCTACCATATGTGTGCCCGCACTGTTGGTAAGATACGACGGTAAGAGCGTACGTTGGTAAGATACGACGGTAACTGCGTGCTACCCTATGTGTGCCCCCACTGTTGGTAAGATACGACGGTAGTATTGCCCTATGTGTGGCCCGCCTTTTTGGTAAGATACGACGGTAACGGCGGGCTACCGTATGTGTGGCCCGCACTTTGGCAAGGTACGAAGGTAACGGCGGACAACCCTATGTGTGGCCCGCACTGTCGGTAGGATACGACGGTAACGGCGTACAAACCTATGTGCGGTCTGCACTGTTGTTAAGATACGACGGTAACGGCGGGCTACCCTATGTGTGGCCCCCCTTTTTGTTAGATACGACGGTAACGGCGGGCTACCGTATGTGTGGCCCGCACTTTGGCAAGGTACGAAGGTAACGGCGGACAACCCTATGTGTGGCCCGCACTGTTGTTGGTTGATATGATGTTAAGGGCGTGCTACCATATGTGTGCCCACACTGTTGGTAAGATACGACAGTAACGGCGTGCTACCCTATGTATACGAGTAAGAGCGTATTGCCCTATGTGTGGCCCGCACTTTGGTAAGATACGACGGTAAGGGCGTGTTACCCTATGTGTGCCCGCACTGTTGGTAAGATACGAGTAAGAGCGTACTGCCTTATGTGTGGGACGCACTGTTGGTAAGATACGAGTAAGAGAGAACTGCCTTATGTGTGGGCCGCGCTGTTGGTAAGATACGACGGTATCGGCGTGCTACCCTATGTGTGGCCCCCCTTTTTGTTAGATACGACGGTAACGGCGTCCTACCGTATGTGTGGCCCGCACTTTGGTAAAATACGACGGTAACGGCGTACAAACCTATCTGCGGTCTGCACTGTTGGTAAGATACGACGGTAGTATTGCCCTATGTGTGGCCCGCACTGTTGGTAAGATACGACGGTAACGGCGTGCTACCCTATGTGTGGCCCACATTGTTGTTAGATACGACGGTAACGGCGTGCTACCGTATGTGTGGCCCGCACTTTGGTAAAATACGACGGTCACGGCGTACAACCCTATTTGTGGCCCGCACTTTGGTAAGATACGACGGTAACGGCGTGTTACCCTATGTGTGCCCGCACTGTTGGTAAGATACGACGGTAAGAGCGTACTACCCTATGTGTGGCCCGCACTTTGGTAAGATACGACTGTTACGGCGTGCTACCCTATGTGTGCCCGCACTGTTGGTAAGATACGATGATAAGAGCGTACTACCATATGTGTGGCCCGCCCTTTGGTAAGATACGACGGTAACGGCGTGCTTCCCTTTGTGTGCCCGCACTGTTGGTAAGATAAGACGGTAATAGCGTACTACCCTATGTGTGGCCCGCAATGTTGGTTAGATACGACAGTAATGGCGTACTACCCTATGTGTGGCCCGCACTGTGGTAAGATACGACGGTAACGGCGTGCTACCCTATGTTTGCCCGCACTGTTGGTAAGATACGACGGTAAGAGCGTACTACCCTATGTGTGGCCCGCACTTTGGTAAGATACGACGGTAACGGCGTGCTACCCTTTGTGTGCCCGCACTGTTGGTAAGATAAGACGGTAATAGCGTACTACCCTATGTGTGGCCCGCAATGTTGGTTAGATACGACAGTAATGGCGTACTACCCTATGTGTGGCCCGCACTGTTGGTAAGATACGACGGTAACAGCGTACTACCCTATGTGTGGCCCGCAATGTTGGTTAGATACGACAGTAATGGCGTACTACCTATGTGTGCCCGCACTGTTGGTAAGATACTACGGTAACGGCGTACAACCCTATTTGTGGCCCGCACTTTGGTAAGATACGACGGTAACGGCGTGCTACCCTATGTGTGCCCGCACTGTTGGTAAGATACGACGGTAATAGCGTACTACCTTATGTGTGGCCCGCACTGTTGATAAGATACGACGGTAATGGCGTACTCCCCTATGTGTGGCCCGCACTGTTGGTAAGATACGACAGTAACGGCGTACTACATGAACCCTATGTGTGGCCCGCACTGTTGGTAAGATACGACAGTAACGGCTTACTACATGAACCCTATGTGTGGCCCGCACTGTTGGTAATATACGACAGTAATGGCGTACAACCCTATGTGTGGCCCGCACTGTTGGTAAGATACGACGGTAACGGCGTACTACCCTATGTGTGGCCCGCACTGTTGGTAATATACGACAGTAATGGCGTACAACCCTATGTGTGGCCCGCACTGTTGGTTAGATACGACGGTAACGGCGTACTACCCTATGTGTGGCCCGCACTGTCGGTAAGATACGACGGTAACGGCGTATTACCCTATATGTCGCCCGCACTGTTGGTAAGATACGGCAGTAATGGCGTACTACCCTATGTGTGGCCCGCACTGTTGGTAAGATACGACGGTAAGGGCGTACTACCCTATGTGTGGCCCGCACTGTCGGTAAGATACGACGGTAACGGCGTGCTACCATATGTGGTCATCGGTTTAGATCACAAACAAGACGGATATAATACAATGTAACTAAGCTAAGCCGGGTACCTTAATTTAAATACTTGTTTCATTTTTCTGGCAGGCCTTTAAATGTAAAATGTTGCTTTTGACCAACAGCAATCGCTATTTCTGTTCATATTCATTTTTATCCATGTTCAGTTTTATGTATCAAAATTAATATTATGCATGTTTTATCAATGAGTGGTAACAACGCTCATCCATTAGCCAAATGTCAGACTGAACTGAGTCTGTTACAGTCTATACCTGTATACATTGATTACAGGCGATTAAATATTGTACTTTCCCACACGTGACGTTGTGTTGTAATTAGAAAATGTTGTTAATTTTGCCAATGAAAAGCCCTGCCCAATAAATATTCCTACACACAACTACGTACTGTCATGTCAAGATATTGTGTTCGTTATTGAGTTATGTTAATTTCCACTAGAAATATTGTGTTCGTTATTGAGTTATGTCAATTTACACTAGAAATATTATGTACGTTAGTGAGTTATGTCAATTTACACTAGAAATATTGTGTTCGTTATTGAGTTATGTTAATTTCCACTAGAAATATTGTGTACGTTAGTGAGTTATGTCAATTTACACTAGAAATATTGTGTTCGTTAGTGAGTTATGTCAATTTACACTAGAAATATTGTGTAATAATTTCAGGAAATTAACCTGGGATTAAAGTGCATGTACTTTTGGATAAAATTAAAAGATAGTCAGAAAATCGATTACAGCAACAAAGATGGGCCGACCTACACCTACAGTTACAAAGATGGGCCGACCTACACCTACAGTAACAAAGATCGGCCAACCTTCACCTACAGTTACAAAGATGGGCCGACCGACACCTACAGTTACAAAGATGGGCCGACCTTCACCTACAGTTACAAAGATGGGCCGACCTTCACCTTCAGTAAAAAAGATGGGCCGACCTTCACCTACAGTTACAAAGATGGGCCGACCTTCACCTACAGTAACAAAGATGGGCCGACCTTCACCTACAGTTAAAAAGATGGGCCGACCTTCACCTACAGTAACAAAGATGGGTCGACCAACACCTACAATAACAAAGATGGACCGACCTTCACCTACAGTTACAAAGATGGGCCGACCTTTACCTACAGTAACAAAGATGGGTCGACCAACACCCACTACACATACTACACAATGCATAACTGTTTACTGATGTACTGATATTACTGATATGTTTATCTTAAGAATCTCGCAGAAATGTTTCTGTATCTGTATTTTATATTTTGTATGGTGATGAAATCGGATTTTACATGATCTGCAGCAATACACATTACTGTGCTTAATGTATACACATGTCTTACCTGTTGTATAGCCATTAAAATGGAAAATACAGGTGACATCGAAACTCTCGCAACAAAGCATGCCTCCTTACTAGACAACTTCTCAGAATATCCAGTTCCGTTAATACATTGACCCTTTCCCGCGATGCGTTGGCGCTTAGAAGATAACTCAGACGATAATCGCTGACAGCACATCATGGCAATATTTATATCTTTACAAATGTTTATTGACAGGTTTCCTGTTCCCAGATGAAATACGTTGGACGACGCCATACTATTTCATGTATTTTAACCAAAAACACCGCACAAATGTAACATGCCAAAACGCATCATTTGATATTATCTATCTTTATTTATCGCTTCGTTTCGAAATAATAAACAAACTACAAAATAAGGGGAAACAAAGCTCTGCATAAAGTAATACAGATAGTTTCGTACATAAAGTTTTCTATGGAATGTCAATGGAGGCACAGCGCTGGGGACACATGTCCCATGTGAATCTCGGATAGTCTATCACACCCTCACACAGGTTATCGAGTATACAGGAAATGAAAAACAAACAGACATGTGTAAAATGAAGTCTGAGACTAATCGTATCACGTAACCTACAGTGATGTCCTATCTAACATCACACAAGTTCGGAAAGGGACGGATTGGGATTGGTTTTCACCCTAACAGCTATACGGCACATGGAATCATTGCTAGGACGTTGACATATCTGTAAAGCAATCATCCTCAGCCAGGCTCTGTAGCTTCGGGGAAGTTTTATCCTCGGTAGAGTGACTAGGACCTGGCTCACCTGGGGACAACAATAGGTACAGAAAGGTTAGTTACAGAGACACAGAATTGCACAAACTTAAACGTACAAACTAAAACGTCACTATTCCAGAGACACAGAAATATACAAACTCACGTCCAGAGACACAGAAATATACAAACTTACGTCACTATTCCAGAGACACAGACATATACAAACTTACGTCACTATTCCAGAGACACAGAAATATACAAACTCACGTCCAGAGACACAGAAATATACAAACTTACGTCACTATTCCAGAGACACAGACATATACAAACTTACGTCACTATTCCAGAGACACAGAAATATACAAACTCACGTCCAGAGACACAGAAATATACAAACTTACGTCACTATTCCAGAGACACAGACATATACAAACTTACGTCACTATTCCAGAGACACAGAAATATACAAACTTACGTCCAGAGACACAGAAATATACAAACTTACGTCACTATTCCAGAGACACAGACATATACAAACTTACGTCACTATTCCAGAGACACAGAAATATACAAACTTAAACGTCACTATTCCAGAGACACAGAAATATACAAACGTATGTCACTATTCCAGAGACACAGACATATACAAACTTATGTCACTATTCCAGAGACACAGAAATATACAAACTTACGTCACTATTCCAGAGACACAGAAATATACAAACTTACGTCACTATTCCAGAGACACAGAAATATACAAACTTACGTCACTATTCCAGAGACACAGAAATATACAAACTTACGTCACTATTCCAGAGACACAGAAATATACAAACTTACGTCACTATTCCAGAGACACAGAAATATACAAACTTACGTCACTATTCCAGAGACACAGAAATATACAAACTTACGTCACTATTCCAGAGACACAGAAATATACAAACTTACGTCACTATTCCAGAGACACAGAAATATACAAACTTACGTCACTATTCCAGAGACACAGAAATATACAAACTTACGTCACTATTCCAGAGACACAGAAATATACAAACTTACGTCACTATTCCAGAGACACAGAAATATACAAACTTACGTCACTATTCCAGAGACACAGAAATATACAAACTTACGTCACTATTCCAGAGACACAGACATAAACAAACTTACGTCACTATTCCAGAAACACAGACATATACAAACTTACGTCACTATTTGGAACCAAACTCTATGACACGATAGACGCGTTGGGATACTATATACTAGTAAGAACACTGCTGAAAAGGTCTATAATAATGAAAGTGATTTCATGGAATAATATACAAGCTTTGTATATATAGATATACCTTTACAAAAACAAGAGACTGTATTTAGAACAGACAGACAGAAATTCTTTATTTCCTCTTTTACAAGAGATTAAAGTCAATCAATACATACATATATGTTTACATTTCAAATTTTATAAAGAATAAAGATAGCGTTCATCAATAGAAAAAGGAAGATAGTTACAATAACGTGTCAATCTCACACACCATTCTTTCTAGACTAATTCACATATTGATCATCATATTTTCCCACTCGTAGTCTTCTAGTAGTATATTCACTCGATCTCCTAATAAGAAACTGCATTGGATTTCATCCTCTATATTTGTAAATAAATATAGGAGGGAACTTCTAAAGCATTCACCACACCATCCATCATTAAGTCACGCGTTTCAAACAATTTCGGACACTCAAGCAGAAAATGAAAAACAATATCAGCAGTAGATTTACCACAAAGTTTACATAATACAATATCGCGTTCAAATATAAATGAATATTTCATTAGCTCTATTAACTGCCACATGCATTTATGCGATATTTGCTTGGTACTTAGTTCTAATAAACTTAACTTAAACGTCACTATTCCAGAGACACAGAAATATACAAACTTACGTCACTATTTGGAACCAAACTCTATGACACGATAGACGCGTTGGTATACTATATACTAGTAAGAACACTGCTGAAAAGGTCTATAATAATGAGAGTGATTTCATGGATTAATATACAAGCTTTGTATATATAGATATACCTTTACAAAAACAAGAGACTGTATTTAGAACTGCTAAAACAGATATGAGACAAAAATCGAATACAATTAAAGATAATAATAAGAAGAAATTATCTTTTTTTGTTAAAAGTATACATTTTAAGGAATTTCTTTAATCAAAAAGCTCGTTTCATATTACACTGTCTATGAATTCATTTTAACCTGGTAGGCAGTCACCATGTTGGTAGGCAGTCACCATGTTTTATTTGTTCTTTCTTTCTTTTATATTATCGGCCATGACCGAGCCGCGCATTGAGCAGGTTTGGGTACAGCAGCCGTCAATACATTTAACCTTTGGTATAATGTAATCATATTAACATTTAGCTCCTGTCAGAACTTTGTCTGGTCTATTCCTATTTATCAGTATGTATAGGATCATCATCATCATAGAAAGACGCAAATAAACCTACCCGGAAGTACAGCCAAAGCGGACGAGTTCGGTCTCCTGCAGACGAAGTTGAGAGCAGCGTGGCGAAAACAACCATTGAAACCTATGTACACTAAAGGGTATATAGAGCTGCTGAAGTAGGCGATGTAGAAGGAGGCGTAGGTCATGGCGTGTATACCCATCGGTAACTAGAATATACAATACAGTGTTACATAAGTCAGGTACGTACTCAGGGAGGCGAAGGTCAAGGCGTGTATACCCTTCCGTAACTAGAATATACAATACAGTGTTACATAAGTCAGGTACGTACTGAGGGAGGCGAAGGTCAAAGCGTGTATACCCATCGGTAACTAAAATATACAATGCAGTGTTACATAAGTCAGGTACGTACTCAGGGAGACGTACATTGTAGGTCAAGGCGTGCATACCCTTCGGTAACTAGAATATACAATACAGTGTTACATAGATCATGTAACATATATTTTAGATGATGGGTGATCTGACGCTAATGACATTTGGTTTTGCTCACTTGAGGCTACGAGTGTATTTCTTTCTCGAATTCTACAAAATGATTTTGAACCACTGTGTGCTTATCAGCTAATAAGGTGTAGGAAAACAGGATCCCCTAGAGATAGTTCAAGGTCATCACCCCGGTGTGTAGTGGGTTTGAGAAATATTGAGAAGATATCACATAAACACACAATGAAATTGTATGTGGAAATTAATTCGATGGCGAGGAAAGACAATGGATGGATGGCTATGATTAATATCACAAATGTTGTGGAAAGTAAACAATCAAAACAATTAACAAAATCCTTCATGCAAGTTCAGAGAGCTATAGTTTTATTTATACATAAGATATCCCCCATACAGACTTTTTAGACCTAAACGCATTAAATATTAAAAAAATAAAATATCGAATTATATTACAGTAGTTTAAATGCATATATCAGTATCAGAGCAAAACAAAATAAATAAATCGATAATGAATAAATGAATTTAACGTTGTGATGATAGGAATACACAGACGTCCATTATTAACTAGCGTATAGATTGTGCAAAGCAGCACCTTTATAAAAACAACTATCAATTATAAAGGCAAGTTTACATAAAACCGGACTGCATAAGTTTCAAATATATATATACAATGTACCTATACCAAGATATTATATTGCACAAACACAATATAGTGTGTTTGTGTATATCTATATTACTATGTAAAAATGTATATGCATGTTTCTGTCTGATTTTTTTTTTTTTTAAATTTAATAATAATAATATATTCCATAAACATCTATACAACAACACTATTGTTCAAATGACAAGCTCATAAATGAATCATGATAATGTCAGGGGATAATCCGAATATCATGATAATGTCAGGGGATCATCCGAATATCATGATAATGTCAGGGGATAATCCGAATATCATGATGATAGCTGATACCATTGTAATATTTATCATTGGAACTAAGCGAATAATTTGGAAAGAATAAAACAACAAAAAGCGCAAAAAGAATAGCAAGCATTTCCGGATTCGTTTATAAAATTAGTAGAACTCTTTCGAGAAAAATACGTTTACGCTAAAACCATACCAGACAATAAAAAAAGTGCTATCAAATCATTGTACGTCATAAAAATTGTGAAATGTTCTTAAAATGGTCAGGTGCTGTAGATAAATCGACAGTTAATATTATTTGTGTAAATTAATATAACAAATGAATATTAAACGGAATATTCAACAACATTTTATCCGGATTTAATAATGAAATTACATTCGGCCGAATATCTTTGCTACTGTCACATGACTTCCAGCTAAAAAGGTAACCCTTTTAATTCAAGAAGATGAACAGATAAAGAATAATATTTACATTTCTACTGAACTTGGACTCAATATACCTACTTAACATTTTAAAGGTTATTTTTCAATGAACTTTTCAGTTGGCGTATGAATCCATTTGCATATTATCAACCTGATTACTCTGTTATTCCGCGGAGCGCGGGAAGTAGTTCCATTCATATATTGTTTTCAATTAAGTATTCCATTGAATTCAAAAATTAATTTACATCTTAATTTGCTTATTCGACGTCTCACTGTGAGTGAGGACGTCATAAATGTTGATACCTTCCGTGGTGTTAGACTTGCACAAGACCGATATTCTATAAATTATCTGACTATCAATATCGCTCTGAATGTAAATATAAGGATAGAATCCCATTTGGTTGAGGTTTATGGGGTATACATTTCAATGGGTCTTGAGACAAATTCAAAATGAACTGCGAAGTGAACTGCTTCGCAGTTCATTTAATTTGTCTCAACACCAATTGAGGTTTATACCCCATAAACCTTAACAAAACAGAATGCAATCCTTAAATGAATATCTTTAGCGAAAAATGTATTATACACAATAGTATGTAACATAAAGAACACATCTACTGCATAAAGTGCAACACAAACTACTTAAAGTACTAACGGTAAAACACAAACTACTTCAAGTACTAACGGTAAAACACAAACTACTTAAAGTAATAACGGTAAAACACAAACTACTTAAAGTACTAACGGTAAAACACAAACTACTTAAAGTAATAACGGTAAAAAACAAACTACTTAAACTACTAACGGTAAAACACAAACTACTTAAAGTAATAACGGTAAAAAACAAACTACTTAAAGTACTAACGGTAAAACACAAACTACTTAAAGTAATAACGGTAAAACACAAACTACTTAAAGTACTAACGGTAAAACACAAACTACTTAAAGTAATAACGGTAAAAAACAAACTACTTAAACTACTAACGGTAAAACACAAACTACTTAAAGTAATAACGGTAAAACACAAACTACTTCAAGTAATAACGGTAAAACATAAACTACTTCAAGTAATAACGGTAAAACACAAACTACTTCAAGTAATAACGGTAAAACACAAACTACTTAAAGTAATAACGGTAAAACACAAACTACTTCAAGTAATAACGGTAAAACACAAACTACTTAAAGTAATAACGGTAAAACACAAACTACTTCAAGTAATAACGGTAAAACACAAACTACTTAAAGTACTAACGGTAAAACACAAACTACTTAAAGTAATAACGGTAAAACACAAACTACTTCAAGTAAAAACGGCAAAACACAAACTACTTAAAGTAATAACGGTAAAACACAAACTATCTAAAGTACTAACGGTAAATACAAACTACTTCAAGTACAAACGGTAAAACACAAACTACTTAAAGTACTAACGGTAAAACACAAACTACTTAAAGTCATAACGGTAAAACACAAACAACTTAAAGTCATAACTGTAGATTTAAACATATTTTATTGCAAATAAATATTTACAAAAGAATTGGACACAAGTTTTACCAACTTATCAACGTCCTTTTCTTCAAATACATGAATATAAACATATAAACAAGGTATTTTACGCAATATACATTAATTATGTTTTTATATGGAAATGGAAAATAGAGACGAAGAAAAGAAGGAGAGCGAAACAAAGTAACGGATAGTAACACAGATAGAGTAGATGAAAAATAAAGAGGAAGAAAAGACGGATAGAGCAATGAAGTAAATGATAGTAACACAGGTAGAGTCGGAGAAAAAAAGAGAGTGATAGAGAGAGAAAGATGATCACATTCAGTCAAACCTGTTGCATTTGCTGATATAATTTTGGACAGATTTTGCAATTGAGGTATTTACATTAATGCTGAATTTAGGATCGCCATATAGGAGCAAGTCTAAAGTTAAATCATCACGAACAGGTTGAAGCTCTCTTATTAATAGATTACGATGCTGGGTGTATAAGGGACAGACACAAAGGAAGTGATAAGAGTCTTCACATGGATTACCGCATGCACATTCAGCTGTATTTGATAAATTTGCTCTAAATAGGTCATAGTTAAGGGAGCTCGCACGATTTCTCAAACGGCAATGAAGTATATTTGATTTACGGGAACCCCATACCAGAAAGCATTTATTTTGTGGTTTACCTTTTGATTTTATATTTGATTTAAATGAACTGAGAGAAGCCGAATTCCTTATAGATATATCTAGGTCATTCCACATTTTTGTAGTTGATGGGAAAAAAGAATTGCGCATTGTTTCAAGCCTAAAGTTTGGTTGTCTTAAATGTTGGGAATTTCTTAGGTTATAACGAGAAATATCCCCAATGCTATCTGGTAAGGTGTCACACAAATAATTAGGAGCTGTACCGTTTTTAATTGTAAAGAATAGGGACAATTTTCTGTTTTTCCTTCTATTACTTAGTGGAACCCAGCCAATTTCATTAAATATATGTTCAATTTTTGTGTAAATAGGTAGTCCTGTAACAATTCGTGCAGCATCTATCTGAATATTTTCAAGTTTTGATGAATTTGTCATTCCACAATTGTCCCAGACTTCACATGCATATTCTAATAATGGTCGAATGTACGTTAAATATAGTTTTTCAAGGTTATTTCTACTGAGTAACCATTTCATTTTACGAAGGGTTGCTATATATTTAGCCACTTTTTTGATAAGTTCGTCTACATGTTTATTCCATTTACCGTCGCTACTTAGTATAACTCCAAGGTGTTTGTGGCTATCTGTTAAAAGGATAGAAGTATCGTTAAAAATAAATTGGGGTTGAAAGGGTAGATTTGTATTAGAAACAATCATGATTTCGGTTTTTTTAGGATTGAAAGACATCAGCCAATTTTTAGACCATTTCTCTAGAGTTTTTAGGTCTTTATTTACTTCACTTACAATATTTTCTAGGTTTGGTGATGAGTATGAAAGCGACGTATCGTCAGCAAAAAGACGAGATAATGAGGAGAGTTCGGTTGAAATGTCGTTAATATAAATCAAGAAGAATAAAGGGCCTAACACTGAACCTTGGGGAACACCGGCGTTTATATTTCTTACAGAAGAATGGGAATCGTGAATAAAGACGGATTGCTTACGCTCAAAAAGATAGTTTGTTATCCAATTAAGAAGACTGCCTGAAATACCATGTTGTTGAAGTTTGTATAAAAGCCCTCTATGCCAAACTCGATCGAAGGCCTTTGAAAAATCACAAAAAGTAAAAGCTATATGTTCATAGTTTTCTAATGCTAACATCATAGAATGGTACATTTCAATGAGTTGATGCGTACAAGAATGATTGGGTAAGAATCCAGACTGAAGTTTGTAAATAAGATAATTAGAGTTAAAAAAGTTGTAAATATGTTTATAGACTACACGTTCAAAAATTTTTCCAACACAGCTTAATAATGATATTGGTCTATAATTCGAAGCATTATGAGCGTCGCCAGACTTAAAGATCGGCATGACGTTTGCTAATTTCCATTTATCGGGATATATACCATTGTTTAAGGAGTGATTAAAAATGAGGGAAAGGGGAATGGCAATTTCATTTGCTACAAGTTTTAACATTCGATGACTGATTCCGTCAGGCCCTGTTGCCTTATTTACATCTAGTATGTTAATAATATCAACTATTTCAGAAGGTATAATATGAATTTCGGACAAAAGAGAGTCTGTTCGTTTTTCTAAAATGGGAATAGGTTTGTTTTGGTCTACTTCGGAATGACTGGATACTGAAGAAAAATAGTTATTAAGAAGTTCACATTTATGGTTATTATCATTCGTGAATTCGTTAGCATTGTCATCAAAAAGTGGTGATATATCAGTAGTTTTGCTTCCTTTCAGTACAAACCTTAACAATTTCCAATATGTTTTGGGGTTAGATTTATTTTTGACTATGATAGAGTCGATATTTTCGTAGAAAAGTTCTTTTGCTCGTTTTATCATATTATTTGTTTTATTTCTTGATTGTTTAAATTTCGTCCTATTAAAATCATTATTATTATTTATAAGTATCTTTTTTAATCGATTTCTATTACGTATTTGTCTTCTGACAATATTATTGATCCAGGGTTTGTCATGTTGTCTAATCTGCACATATTTAGATGGTATGCATATATCTACAGCGTTAAGTATAGTGGTTGTCAGAAAATCACACATGTCATTAACGTCATTAAACATATTAAATTGGTTTACCCATGATATATTTGTGATAAAATGTTTAAGCTTTTCGATGTCTGTTTTGTCATATAGCCATACCTTTCGTTTGAAAACTGTTTGGGTTTGTTTCGGTACTTCAATTATTGTAAAAACAGCATTGTGGTCACTTATATTGTCGTCTATATTAATAACTTCACTGAAAAAAGTGTTGATTGTGTTACTGATAATTACTGGATCTAATAATGTTGCTGAATGGTCCGTTATTCTGGTAGGTTCGGTTATAATATTTGACATCTGGTACAAAGTGAGAAGGTCGAATAATTCATCTCTGGAGGATTTTAAAAAGTCAACATTTAGATCGCCCATCAAAATAACATTATCTGTAATATCGAATGCCAGGTCGAGGGAATGTTTTAGTCTCTGCCATATACCGTCAGAATAATTTAGATTAGGTGGTCTGTATAGATTTCCTATTATATGTGTAATATTATTTGAATAAACTTGTACCCATATTACTTCGTCATTAGCAAATTCTAACTCAAGTTTTCTTTTAACTACGAGAGATGGAGAATAGTATAACAATACACCCCCTCCGAACATATTCCTATCTTTTCTAAACGGTTTGTCACTAAAGCCCTGTAGCGTAATTTCTTCATTAGTAATAGAAGGATCCACATGAGTTTCGGTTATACAAAGAATGCCGACATCGTCGGTCAATGCTTCAATGTAGCCTATTTTGTTTCGTATACTTCTAATGTTAAGATGCATAAGCTTCGGTGAATGGGTTGCCGTCATATTACTAGAGTTTGGACCAGGGTTGGAATGGATATCTCCTGATGTCAGAAGAAGAAGATGGATTATCATAGGAAAGAATATGTTTACATTATTGATATAGGATTGTTGTAAAAACAAATATGATGTAAATAACCAACATTTGGCATTGACTTCAAAAATATTTAGAAAATCAGCAGGGTATGTTATGTAAGTGTAGGTTATTAAAATGGTTGCAACTTTACAGTGAAAACAGCCTATGGCAGCTCTCCACGCACCAACATCATTACCTACTAAGGAGGGTATAGATCAGATTTTGGGGGCGCGAGAAGAGCTTTCATATACGGGCAGTTTAATACAAAGCAGTTGGGGATGGCTGGATGTGAGATTAGAAAAGAGAAGGGAAATGGGGTAGACAAAGCAGCGGATGGGGGTAGGTAGGGAAAGCAAAAAGAAAGAAAAATGGGAAACGTTTGAATAGATATTGGGTACGTTATCTTCATTGGGAAGATGAAGTACATGTGGTGATTCCCAAATATCAGCAGATAGGTTCTGATATGGGAATGGATCTATAGGCGTGAATCAGGGTGATATTTACAGTACTATAGTGTACATATAACAGGTTGAAATGCTTAGATAACTGGGTTTTGGAACAATTGACTTCTATTAACAGGTCTAGTATTTACAAACATAAATCATAATAGTAAGATGGCATAGTGAATTAATTGTAAAAATACACACACACACACACACACACACACACACACACTTCATTACACAAGCAATCACACACATATATGATATTTTTGCATATACATAATAACATATAACTACATGTACACGCAATACCAGGCAATATTTTGGAATGTATTAAGACTAATTTATAAGGTTAAAAGACTTAGCCATAGAGTCGGGAATACACATATATTACATTCTTGCATATAAATAATAACATATTTGTACATGTACACGCAATACCAGGCAAAATTTGGAATGTATTAAGACTAATTTATAAGGTTGATAGAACTATATAAGTAAGTCTAAAAACCTGCTATTCACCTGTCATAACTGTAAAACACAAACTACTTCAAGTAATAACGGTAAAACACAAACTACTTAAAGTACTAACGGTAAAGCACAAACTACTTAAAGTACTAACGGTAAAGCACAAACTACTTCAAGTACTAACGGTAAAGCACAAACTACTTAAAGTACTAACGGTAAAGCACAAACTACTTCAAGTACTAACGGTAAAGGACAAACTACTTAAAGTACTAACGGTAAAACACAAACTACTTCAAGTCATAACGGTAAAACACAAGCTACTTCAAGTAATAACAGTAAAACACAAACTACTTCAAGTAATAACGGTAAAACACAAGCTACTTAAAGTACTAACGGTAAAACATAAACTACTTAAAGTACTAACGGTAAAATACAAACTACTTCAAGTACTAACGGTAAAACACAAACTACTTCAAGTAATAACGGTAAAACATAAACTACTTCAAGTAATAACGGTAAAACACAAACTACTTCAAGTACTAACGGTAAAACACAAACTACTTAAAGTAATAACGGTAAAACACAAACTACTTAAAGTAATAACGGTAAAACACAAACTACTTAAAGTAATAACGGTAAAACACAAACTACTTAAAGTAATAACGGTAAAACACAAACTACTTAAAGTAATAACGGTAAAACACAAACTACTTAAAGTAATAACGGTAAAACACAAACTACTTAAAGTAATAACGGTAAAACACAAACTACTTAAAGTAATAACGGTAAAACACAAACTACTTAAAGTACTAACGGTAAAACACAAACTACTTCAAGTACTAACGGTAAAACACAAACTACTTAAAGTAATAACGGTAAAACACAAACTACTTAAAGTAATAACGGTAAAACACAAAATAAAGTAGGTGTATTGTTTGGAGTAAAACGTTTACATTGTTTTTGCCTACCTTTGCTCCAGGCCCTTTGTAACGGTACACGTCCCAGAGCCGCTCAAACTGTGGAGGACTCCAGCACACGAAGAACACAACCAATACGGTCAGGATCATCGTCACTGCCTGCAATGGTAAACAGTGTTTACATATTTACGTGTTCATTTCAGCAAACTACCCGTAGTTCATTTTACTGTGATTATACTCCCTACAAAACAAACAAACAAGCAAACAAAAATCAAATATACTCACTTTTTGTTTCATATTGTCGAACGATTTTCTCTGTTCTGTCATTGGCACCTTTGGCGGTGCAGATTTTATCATCGTCACCACGAGCAGAATAAACATAACGATAACCGGAAGTACGTAGCCGATCACCACTGACACCGTGACGTACGCCTTTCGGGAATCCTCGGATGGGAAGTGAGCTTGGCATAGAACCTCATGACCTCCAATCCAGTCATACTCAGAATACCGGGTATACAGTAGCCACGGCAATGCCAGTAGAGTTCCGAGTATCCATATGAGAACAATGACCGTGACCTGGTGTGCTTGTGTGATGACCAGACATCTCGGGTATAAAGTGGCAAAGAATCTATCTACGACTATCACAGTCAATGTGAAAACACACACTGTCACCACCAACACTGAAACAAATCGGAAAACAGAGATTTATATAAATCTCATAAAGACCTGTGTGTGACTGCGCTTACATCCGATTATAAATATAAAACAAAACCATGTAAATATATTTTTACTCAAACAATCATAGCGAGGTCCTCCGTCTAAGTGTAGATACAAGCAAATCAGTCTTATTATGAATACCAGCAGCTCATATTCATTTAACAAGTATCATTCATTGGTATAACAATTTGATATATTAAGCATATTTTCGTTTTATTTAAACCATATTTTTTAATAAATACACGTGTATGCATGCTCCCCTTTTTATAATATACTCATTTTTAAAACAAACTGTTTAAATATGAATGATAATTTATGAAAATATGCCATTTTTTGCTAACACTTCACTTATCAAACAAACGGCCATGGGAAGTCTGAATTAATACAGCAACAACAACTAAAACAAAAACAAAAGAACAAGAACAATCATCTATGTTTTAAATAGAACGAAGAAACATGGAAGATATAATCTGATGTTTAGAGTAATGATACCAATACACTTAGTCACTATACTTCACACAGAGAGCGATGTATGATAACGAGCTAGCAGCAATGTTAAGGTATATGGGTGTAACCTGATACAATACTACAGACAGGCTTTACCTCCAATATACTTAGTCACTAAACTACACTCTGAGAGCGATGTATGATAAAGAGCTAGCAGTAATGTTAAAGCATATGGGTGTAACCTGATACATTCTACAGACAGGCTTTACCACCAATATACTTAGTCACTATACTACACTCTGAGAGCGATGTATGATAACGAGCTAGCAGCAATGTTAAGGTACATATGTGTAACCTGATATAATACTACAGAAAGGCTTTACCTCCAATATACTTAGTCACTATACTACACTCTGAGAGCGATGTATGATAACGAGCTAGCAGTAATGTTAAGGTATATGGGTGTAACCTGATAAATACTACAGACAGGCTTTACCTCCAAGATACTTAGTCACTATACTACACACAGAGAGCGATGTATGATAACGAGTTAGCAACAATGTTAAGGTATATGGGTGTAACCTGATAAATACTACAGACAGGCTTTACCTCCAATATACTTAGTCACTATACTAGACACAGAGAGCGATGTATGATAACGAGCTAGCAGTAATGTTTAGGCATATGGGTGTAACCTGATACAATACTGCAGCCAGGCTTTACCTCCAATATACTTAGTCACTATACTTCACACTGAGAGCGACTTATGATAACGAGCTAGCAGCAATGTTAAGGTATATGGGTGTAACCTGATACAATACTACAGAAAGGCTTTACCTCCAATATACTTAGTCACTATACTACACACAGAGAGCGATGTATGACAACGAGTTAGCAACAATGTTAAGGTATATGGGTGTAACCTGATAAATACTACAGACAAGCTTTACCTCCAATATACTTAGTCACTATACTTCACACAGAGAGCGATGTATGATAACGAGCTAGCAGTAATGTTAAGGTACATATTTGTAACCTGCTACAATACTACAGACAGGCTTTACCTCCAATATACTTAGTCACTATACTTCACACTGAGGGCGATGTATGATAACGAGCTAGCAGTAATGTTAAGGTATATTGGTGTAACCTGATACAATACTACAGACAGGCTTTACCTCCATCTTTTAAGGTATGTAGATTATATAACATGGTTCTGATGTTAATGATAATGTAACTAACGTTACAGCTGTATCGTCCCTCTAGGACCTATCGGTGCTGCTAAAGGCCAACAGAAGTGAACACTCAAAGCGTTCTAATATACTCTTAAAACCGAAGGGAGTACACAAAATCCCATAATTAAATTATTTTATATAATAAAGGAGTATTTGATAGCTTTGAATTAATATTGAGTAAATTTGTGTATATTGTACACCGTGGCACTTCTCAGAAAAGATTACTGTGACCATCAAGGTTATGTGGATCCTCGCAGACTACGTAATCCACCAACAGAATTTATCACATTTTATTTTAAAAGATAAACGTGCTACACCCAGAGGGTCTCCCACCTTTAACATTGGGTGATAGTGACAATACTCGAATGTCCACTGCGGCATTAAACTGTTTTGTCCTTTAGGACCCATGAAGTCGGAATCCAAATTGGTCGAATCTACTTTCGAAACAGAAGGGGAGTTTCGTAAAACACTTAAGTAGCATTCAAAAAATAAAAAAAACAATAACATAATTTTGATGTGATTCAGTATATATGTTGTCTTTTATAGTCAAGAATCCAATTCTACAATATCGGCGATGTAACAATAGGCAGAGGTGTACATGTAAGTATATTCTGACACTGGTCTTAAGGGTAATACCTCATAAAAAAGAAGGAGAAAATGTTAATAATAATGCCATGGAAGAAAAAAGCTAAACTTGAGTCATTTCGAAACTACCTTAAGTATAGGCAAAATACACGTGCAACATCTTCAAAACGCTCCATCTCATTGTCAAATTAAGCAACTGAGCCACGTGGTAATGATCTGAGATTACCAGCTAGTTATTTCCAAATACAACCAATGTGCAGTATAAAAATTTAATAAGCCAGAAAACATTGAATGGTTATCTAATGGCTCAGGAATGCATTGCACTTGTTGCTAATTGTTCGATCCTTCTTCAACGGAACATGTTTTTGCTCTTTAAAGAAACACACATCAAGTTTTATTCGAACTTTAGGCCATTGGCCCATCAGCATACAATACATGTTATACACAAATTATGGACAATGTACAGATAATGAAGACACTCATATTCCATTATAATACCCTTAATTTGTTTGCCTCATAGATGAATTTTCCTAGTATACACAATTCTTTAATATTATGGACACTCAATAACTGAACGGCTTTAAACACAGATGTTTTTTTCTAATAATAGCTTTTGATAAAACTTGATCTGAGATTTTGGAATTTAGAACAGACTAATAAAACACATTAGACACATTGTACATCTATTTGCGAATGGAAAACTTACCTTGCAAAAAAGTGTTGATTTTGCAGAAGAAATGGCCGAGCGGCCACTTTGACGGACTGAGGTTGGTGACAAGATGTAACCACATACAGGTAAGAGTGATGAGAATGTTGACACTAGCCAAGTTCAGGACATACATGTTAAACTTTGTTCGTAGACTTTTTGTTCTGATAATAACAACAATGATAAGAGAATTCAGTGTCAAAGCTAAGATCATGGCCAGTACATACATTAAGATCTTGGCCACTCGTTCATTTGTTGAAATATCTGGCAGTACACTCAGATCACTGAAGGAAATATTTGAACGTGTTAACCATGCAGAAAAGTCAAACTTTACCAGAGTTGTCTTATTGAAATTCCCAAAGGAAGAGTTGAATAAACTTTTGTAACTCATCCTTAAACTTTAGAACGAAAAGGCCTGACTCTTTCCGATCACAGGGTATGTTAAAGTGGTAAAACTATTCCAGGCGTAAAGCTGTGGTGGAATGCAGAGCTGTTGAACATAGCCATGGTGTGTTCTGATACCAGACGGAGTCGGCCCACAGAGGACGTCCTGTTCGGAATAGATACGCTGTGAAATCGCCACACCAAATATAGTTTGAATTTTCTATTTTTAGGCATCCATAGATAAGACTAAATGGACATTATTACGGACACAGATGTGATATGGCTATAATTTATTGTTACTGAGTGTCAAATTTTATTCCACTTCATCTCCACAAATTACTAACTTTCAATGGGATCACATCAGAAGAACATTAGTTATATAACACAAGTAGACGAGTTGTAGGTGTGTACAGTTCAGGTAGCATGCATTTAAACACTTTATCATTATAACAATATACAAATCTAGCACGCCTAACAACTTCATTACAAATTTGTTTAATAGAAATATACATATATTTGAACGCCTACGCAACGAGTACTAAACAGCGCTGGCTACTTGCTAAGGAGTACCCTTCAGAGTTTGTCCTTATGAAAAAGAGTCCCATACAACGATTGTCCAAAGGTAGCGGATACTACACAACGATGGTCCAAACGTAAATGGTACCATGCAACGTTGGTCCCCAAATAAGCGGGATTTGGACCCTGAAATAAACAATTTACATAAAGACTCGCATAGTACTAATGCAAAATCTCAGTGTTCCTGTATAGATCTCATCAGTAGTATGTTCACCTGTATAGAGCCCACCAGTAGTATGTTCACCTGTATAGATCTCACCAGTAGTATGTTTACCTGTAGATATCTCACCATTAGTATGTTCACCTGTATATATCTCACCATTAGTATGTTCACCTGTATATATCTCACCAGTAGCATGTTCACCTGTATAGATCTCACCAGTAGTATATTCACCTATAGAGATCTCACCAGTAGTATGTTCACCTGTAGAGATCTCACCAGTGGTATGTTTACCTGTAGATATCTGACCAGTAGTATGTTCACCTGTATAGATATCACCAGTAGTATGTTCACCTGTATAGATCTCACCAGCAGTATGTTCACCTGTATAGATCTCACCAGGAGTATGTTCACCTGTATATATCTCACCAGTAGTATGTTCACCTGTAGAGATCTCACCAGTGGTATGTTTACCTGTAGATATCTCCCCAGTAGTATGTTCACCTGTATAGATCTCACCAGCAGTATGTTCACCTGTATAGATCTCACCAGCAGTATGTTCACCTGTATAGATCTCACCAGGAGTATGTTCACCTGTATATATCTCACCATTAGTATGTTCACCTGTATATATCTCACCATTAGTATGTTCACCTGTATATATCTCACCATTAGTATGTTCACCTGTATATATCTCACCATTAGTATGTTCACCTGTATATATCTCACCAGTAGTATGTTCACCTGTATATATTTCACCAGTAGTATGTTCACCTGTATAGATATCACCAGTAGTATGTTCACCTGTATAGATCCCACCAGTAGTATGTTCACCTATAGAGATCTCACAAGTGGTATGTTTACCTGTAGATATCTCATCAGTAGTATGTTCACCTGTATAGATCTCACCAGTAGTATGTTCACCTATAGAGATCTCACCAGTGGTATGTTTACCTGTAGATATCTCACCAGTAGTATGTTCACCTGTATAGATCTCACCAGTAGTATGTCCACCTGTATAGATCTCACCAGTAGTATGTTCACCTGTCTAGATCTCACCAGTAGTATGTTCACCTGTATAGATCTCACAAGTAGTATGTTCACCTATAGAGATCTCACCAGTGGTATGCTTACCTGTAGATATCTCACCAGTAGTATGTTCACCTGTATATATCTCTCCAGTAGTATGTTCACCTATAGAGATCTCACCAGTAGTATGTTCACCTGTATAGATCTCACCAGTAGTATGTTCACCTATAGAGATCTCACCAGTTGTATGTTCACCTGTATAGATCTCACTAGTAGTATGTTCACCTGTATATATCTCACCAGTAGTATGTTCACCTATAGAGATCTCACCAGTAGTATGTTTACCTGTAGAGATCTCACCAGTAGTATGTTCACCTGTATAGATCTCACCAGTAGTATGGTCACCTGTATAGAAACAGCGTGTGAGCACACCTTTCAAATAGTTGTTTTATCGCTAAAATTGAATTTTTTCTTTTAAAATCTGCATTTCAAAACCTCAAAATGATGATAAACGTCAATAAGGCAACGTAAATTAGTTATTGTAAATGTTTATTAGGAACAGTTTTTATTTTTTACCAGATTTAGCATACAACCATATATACACACTTTAATATGGATTTTTTTCCTTTGTTTGAAGAACTGACACCATCTTGTCAAAATATCCGCACTATATCCTGAAACGACATACGTCAATAGGAAGGCGTGGCATGTACATGTAACAAGTTAGTTGTACGATACATACATTTCGAGTCCTTATACGACAAAGGTCAAAAGAAGGCGGGGCAAAATTGTTCTTACAAGTAGCGTAGTGCTCTTAGTCCAATTGTCCAGCTAGACACAACTATTTAATCTATTTACACTTGAATTTAATAATAACGTTCTAAAGAAAAGGGGCCAATATGATAAAGAGGGTGTATTATAAACTGGAAGGGTTATTAAACTTTTTGGTCGTTACTAAGGCGTGTCTAACTTACCATCACTGATGACGTTTCTTTGACGGATGACGCAAACGAGTATTACAATATTTGTGTTGCTGTCTCTTTAATCAGAATTGCCATGGGAGTCGTTATAAAATTGTGGATCTTATCAGTAACTCGTCGGTGACGAGAATAGTTCCAGTGTAGAATCTGTCTCTACTTCAATGTCACTTTCTCGTTGATAAATACGGCCAAGTGTTCCAAATATTTAGATTTGTGTTCCTGACAGTTGTCGTAATATAAGGACCCTTGTGCATCCAAGTTGTTTGTTTGTAATGTATATAGGTGTGTTCCTTAAAGAATGTCGTCATTCATAAAATCTGACTGACTGTACTGACGTTCTGATAGCTAAGTAAACAGTTTCTGTTTCAACGTTTATTAACTTATTTATTTTAAATAACATTGCTATATTGCATAAGAATACTTCTTTTGTCTTCACAAAGTGTTTTGCCAGAATATCCAACCTCAGAGTAAAGTTAAATTAGCTGCTAGAAAAGCACGCGCCAGACTATTAGTTCAATAAATACTAGGCATGTGAGTATCCAATGTCAAGTTCGGAGGAGGAAACAATTGAGACATTTGTTTTAGACCTGTGAGTAAGTTCTAGGAAATGGCAGATGCTTCGATCCTCCCGTGAAAATAACGTTATGATGAAAACTGTAATATTTCCAATGACTGTTGGCACACCCAGGAGGACAAACTGAGCCCCTTTTCAGGCCAACTTTGGTTTTCATATGAGGCCAGAATTATCGACGAGCTTATCAGGACAGGAAACAAAATCTAAGTCCGTGATAAATGTCAAATGGTGTCTGACAAATGAACCACACCGAGGGAAGGTAGGTTGATGAAGACATTGGCCAAGTTGAATAATCGTCAAGATGATCTTTTGTATTGAGGAACACTCTGTTTGTTAGGTCAGTATCGGCGCTCTTTGTTATGCTCATTGGCGTGTCTTGTGGTTTCGATGTCGCTACCCCGGCCCTTACTTCCTGGAAAACTTTGTATTATTCTCCCTGTAGTTTTTCAAGGGTCTCAAAACTTTTGTTTACTTTTCCCCTAGTTTCAGATAAAACGTCACATGGAAATAGATGACCACAACCTATGTGAAACATGTCCGTGTCTCATTCCTTTACTAATTGAAGTATATATGCACACACTTATCTACCAATACCTACAGTATTACCTAATTTAAAACACCTGCATGTGTGTAACTTTCACGAAAACTAATCTTCGTAAGTTAATACAAAATGTATCATATATGTATTTTGTATTTATTACGGTGAACACGTTGGTAAAAGTGAACGTAACATATACACCGGTCATAGCAACTTTTAAGATGATGTAGTAATAGATACAGCCACAAATATAGTAACATACACACCGGTCATAGCAACTTTTAAGATGATGTAGTAATAGATACAGCCACAAATATAGTAACATACACACCGGTCATAGCAACTTTTAAGATGATGTAGTAATAGATACAGCCACAAATATAGTAACATACACACCGGTCATAGCAACTTTTAAGATGATGTAGTAATAGATACAGCCACAAATATAGTAACATACACACCGGTCATAGCAACTTTTAAGATGATGTAGTAATAGATACAGCCACAAATATAGTAACATACACACCGGTCATAGCAACTTTTAAGATGATGTAGTAATAGATACAGCCACAAATATAGTAACATACACACCGGTCATAGCAACTTTTAAGATGATGTAGTAATAGATACAGCCACAAATATAGTAACATACACACCGGTCATAGCAACTTTTAAGATGATGTAGTAATAGATACAGCCACAAATATAGTAACATACACACCGGTCATAGCAACTTTTAAGATGATGTAGTAATAGATACAGCCACAAATATAGTAACATACACACCGGTCATAGCAACTTTTAAGATGATGTAGTAATAGATACAGCCACAAATATAGTAACATACACACCGGTCATAGCAACTTTTAAGATGATGTAGTAATAGATACAGCCACAAATATAGTAACATACACACCGGTCATAGCAACTTTTAAGATGATGTAGTAATAGATACAGCCACAAATATAGTAACATACACACCGGTCATAGCAACTTTTAAGATGATGTAGTAATAGATACAGCCACAAATATAGTAACATACACACCGGTCATAGCAACTTTTAAGATGATGTAGTAATAGATACAGCCACAAATATAGTAACATACACACCGGTCATAGCAACTTTTAAGATGATGTAGTAATAGATACAGCCACAAATATAGTAACATACACACCGGTCATAGCAACTTTTAAGATGATGTAGTAATAGATACAGCCACAAATATAGTAACATACACACCGGTCATAGCAACTTTTAAGATGATGTAGTAATAGAT